AGCTTCATCATCTGTCCACCATTGAACTTGGTTAGAAACACTTTTTGTTTCTTCAGACTGTGTTTTTCTTCTCCTTTTTACCCTATGATTTGCTTGTTTGTAAATCCAGATAAGTTATACACAAATATATGCCAGAAACACTGAAGTTAATTTTTGTTTTCTGTCTCATTGATTTTTTTACTTTGTTTCTAGTCATCACTGTTCAATTTTATGTTCCTTTACTAGCTTGTTAAAAAAATATTTACTTTTATTTTATGTGTACAAGTGTTTGCCTGACTCTTTTGTATATGCACCATGGAAGTACAGTGTCGAGAGAGGCCAGCAGAGGGTATCAGAGCCTCTGGAATTGATGTTTAGAAGTGGGAGTTGGGAAAGGAACCTGTGTAATGTTAACTTTTGGGGTTCTGGGGTGTTTTTATATGGCTACCAACAAGAAGCCATTTTCTTTTAGGATCCAGTCAAATTCTTTTGAAACAGTTTGGTCCTCCCCAGCCCTGGTTTTAAGATATGTTAGTGGGACTGGAGTAATTCTCAGGCTGAAACTGACCATCTCCTCCTCAGGGAAAACTACATGCATACCAGCCTAGTGCCCCAAGAACTGTGACATATTCTAGTCTGTAAGCTGATGTTTTGGTTAGGGTTTTACTGCTGTGAACAGATACCATGGTAATGCAAATCTTATAAAGGACATATAATTGGGGCTGGTTTACAGGTTCAGAGGGTCAGTCCATTATCATCAGGTAGGAACATGTTGTCATCCAGGCAGACATGGTTCAGAAGGAGCTGAGAGTTCTACATCTTCATCTGAAGGCTGGCAGAATATTCACTTCCAAGCAGCTAGGATGAGGGTCTTAAAGCCCACACCCACAGTGACATGTCTACTCCAACAAGGCCACACCTACTTCAACAGAGCCACACCTTATAATAGTGCCACTCCCTGGGCAGAGCATATCAAACCATCTCATTGGGTACAGGCACCACTCCTAACCCTCTGTTGACAGACCTGGTTCTATCAGGTCAGCCTTTCGTGACCCTCATGTCAGTCAACAGCCCACTAAGTATATGGATCCTCTGAAGACTCAGGAGTCTATTTCCATGAAATTCGGTTCTCACCACCATCTCAAATCCAAAATACTGCAAAGAAAACCGTCCTAAGGGAGTTGTGGTGGCCATCCCCTGTGCTCTTAACACTCCAGAGACTAAGGCAGAGCAATCAAGATCATGATGTCATAACACTTTCATTTACTATGCATAATTTCACAAGTTTCAAAACTACATATCAAACAAACAAACAAGCAAGCAAAGCCACATCTCTCCTAAATACAGAAAAGACTGAAAGAAATTTTTAAGTGGGTACTGGCATCAGACACGTACAGTCATCAACCAATAATGAGAATTTGGATTGTAAATTCTCCCAGGGAAAAACTAGGCCCCAGACTATTAATTAACTCTATTAATTCGTATTATGACCCAGTCAGCCTCTTAAGTAGACATGTATGGTTCCTTTGGAAACTCAGTTATGTCATATGATGTTTTTCTGGGGCAGACAGGTGAAAGGATGTTTTGCTGAAGCAGACATAGGAGAGGACGTTTAGAAAAAAATATAAGTATGTGGGTGGAGATGTTCTGGCATTGGTTCACCCTTGCACCGTGTTGCTGATCTTCGCTTGTTGTGACTGCATAGAGAGTAGCTAGCCAAAGAACTTCCATGATATTCTGGTGGCTTCTCTTCATTTCAGTGGATTCAGGCCAATTGGCAGAGCCTCGTGGTTTCTTCTAGATTGAACTGCCATTGCTGACTCATGAGTGGTGATTGCCCAGTGGGTTGGACTGCTGCTGCTGATGTTAGTGTTTGGTGTTTTGCTAGAGGGCTGGACTGCTAACAACGAAGATTGGAATAGCCCCAAAGAATATTTCTAGACAGGTCCACAACCCCTGTTTCCTATTAACCTTTCTTTTCCACTACCTCTAGTAAGTGGTGGCCTAAAAGGAAGGTTGAAGCACTTAAGAACCCTCATTAAAGTAGGTTTTGAAAAAATCTAAGCCAACAAGCTTCCTAATAAATGAAACTGAGTCCTATCATTTATTCAAATCAGCTTAGCACAATTACTGAGTGATTATTCCTAATCTACTTTTATATATGCTAAACTGGCTAATTCCCAGCTGTGCTCCCCAAGTTATTCACCCCAGCTGCCTTTTTGCTCCATCAGCCTGTCCTCAGAGGAGACCTCTCTTGACCACATGCTCATGGTCCATCCCATCTAATGGTGGCCTCCTCCTCTCCCTCCTTCTCCCATTCTCTCTCTTCTCCAGTTCTCTCTCTCCTTGTGGTCCCTCTCTGATGCCCCCAACCAAGTAACTGAAATCCTGTCTACCTCTATCCTCCCCAGTGATAGGCTAGAGCTATTTTTATTTAACCAATAGCTTTAGATTGGGGAGCAAGGTTTACACAACAAAGGTCGGTGTGAGAGAGAATTGATTCATCTGAAGGCCACCAGATACACAGCCCCAGACCAATCCCAGACACCTTAGGGTTTAGCAGTCCTTGACCCAAGCAATTCTGTTTCAAGAAACTGAAGAAAACAATCTTTAAAGATATAACTTCAAGGATATTGATAGAATACAAAAGAAAACTTTAAAATAACATTAACAACTAGCAATAAAACTTTAGTTGAATGCATTGAAGCAAATAAGCCTCAGTTCAGACCTTTAAAAGTTACCAAGCTGTAACAAATACATTGTGGCTTCAGTTGTAACAGAAGCAGAAGTGAATGGTGACAGACTAAGCTTGGCTTTTCAGTGCTGTTATAAGAATCAAAACCCTAACCACTAATTTCTGCTCTGTGGCACCAAGAAAGTTTTGGGGAGTGGGGTGGGGCATACTTCTCATTTTCTTGTGACTGAAAATACTTATTAGCCTGACCTAGGAGAGCCTGTCATTCAGCTATCTAGAAGTCTGAGGCAAAAGAATTCAAAGTTCAAGGCTAGCTTTTGCAGAGTGAGTTCAAGAGAGCTGGTGGTTTTTCTGTTTGTTTGTTTGTTTGTTTGTTTGTTTAAATCTGGTTTTTCTTCTACCCCCTGCTCCTGGAATGACAACTCTGGGACTAATTATTAAATGCTTAGGCCGTTGCTTTGGCTCATTCCCTGACTAGTTTGTAACTTATTTAACTCATTCAAACTAGTTTATGTGTACCACTTAGTTACCTGTCATTCAGTCCCAGCCTGCTTCTTCCTTCACGTTTCTTCATTGTCTCTCTCAGTATCTCCTTTTATTCTCTCACTAGTTCCCAGAATCCTCTCTCTTCCTGCCAGTGTCCCACTTCTTATTTCCTGCCTCAGATCATTGGCAATAGGCTTTTGGTTTTTTGGGTTTTTTTTTTTGACAGATGATGCTTGTAAGAGATTCCCTCTACAGGCTGGGGATGTGGCTCAGTGGTAGAGTGTTTGCCTAGGCTGCTAGAGGATCAGGTTCATTCTCCAGTACCACCAACAAATTAATTAATATAAAATGTTTTACATGCATTTATTGTGCATATATGAATGTGTATGTGCCACAGTGTATGTGTGGGGGTCAGAGAACAACTTGTGAGAGTCAATCTCTCCTTCTACTATGTGAGGTCCTAGAACTGAACCCAGGTCACCAGGCTTGGTGGTGAGTGACTTACCACTGAGCCTTCTTTCAGGCCCCCATAAATGAAAATTTCTAACTTAAACAGCTATTCGTTGGCTCTTCCTGTAATGTGTGCTGGTTACTATGGATTGTCAATTTCATTAGAGGGGTACACAAGAGCTTGGTAAAGCACATATCTGGCTGTGTTTCTAAATATTATCCACAGAGGGTTCGATTATAAGGGCTGTTACATAGATAGTGACTTAATCCATTGATGGACTCAGTCTTTCAACCAATTTTGGGGTGTTATGGAACCGTAGAGTGTGGGGCCTGACTACAGAAGGAAGGCTTCTAGGTATGTGTTTGAAGGGTCTGCTTTGGCCCCACCCCTTCCTGTTAGCTCCTCCTTGCTTCCTGGCTGCCTTCAGCTCCACGGCTTTCCTGTTCCATGTTCTGTGATGTTCTTCCGCCTTGACATGAACCTACACACAACGGAGTCAGCCGGGTGACTTTGCAACTTGTAAACTATGACTCCAAATTAGCCCTTTAAGTTATTCTCAAGTGCATGTCACAGCCACAAAAATATGACTACCACAGTTCCTCCTCTCCTGAGTTGTTGCCTCAACCCTGGGCTTCATTCTCATCTGTCCAGACTGCCCTTCCTTGACCTTGACCTTCTTTTGTTGTTTTTCTCAGTACAGGTGTCCTCTAGATCTCTATCTAATTATGTTCATGGCTTATCGTCTGGGTTTTGCCTTCTACAAAAAAAAAAAAAGTACTTCAGGATAACGATGTTTTGTTTTATTCACAGTTTTTCAAATGGTTCGTAATAGGACTTGTCACATGACTGTTAGAATACAGACTCTACAGCTGTCTTTCTCTTGTACTCTGAAAAGTCAGACCACACATTCCTACAGTCTCTCCCTTTTTGGACTGAGAGTTGATGCAAGCAACCTGCTGTAACATGACAAGGCTCACAGAGCTGAGTTCTCTCTCTTCCTCTCAGCTGCCACCCCAGCTCCAACAGATACCCCAAACAACCCTGGATTATAACTTAGCTTGCATCTAGTGCCTTCCTGCCTTTTCTTGTGACTCCTGGCACACAGGTTAGGTGACATGATGTGGAATACTTCCTGCCCCAAACTCGTAAGTATAAGGAATTCCTATCCTTGGGAGCTTGGGTTTTTAATAAGCTTTGCCCATCAGATCTCCATCGTGGCTGCCTTCAGCCTGATTCTAATAACCACCTCCTGCCCCGTTGTTGTTGTTGTTGTTGTTGTTGTTGTTGTTGTTGCTGTTGCTGCTGCTGCTGCTGCTGCTGTTTACTTGCGGGAAAAGAGGAATTTTAAAGGCATTTATTATTTGTGTGTATGAATGAGTGTGTATGAGCATGGAATGCATGCACTGCCCGGAGAGGCCAGAAGGGGATGTTGGAACCCAGGCGCTGCAGTTACAGGCCATTGTGAGCAACCGATATGGGTAGTGGGGACTGAACCTAGGTCCTCACCAAGAGCAGCAAGGACTCTTAAACAGCTGAGCACCTCTTTAGCCCTACTAATACCTTATTTAAAAGGTCTTCTAAAGGGTACTTCATGCCAGCTTCATTTCCACGAACCTGCAACATCTTTTATTATTTACCTGACAAGCAGATGTTTGGTTCCCGGTGTCCACTCTCAGCTGCCAAGCAATCCGTGTATCAGATGAGTCCCAGACAAACCGAAGAACTTCAAATCCCAGAGTCCCCGGGTCTCAAAGTGGACTACATTTCCCAGAGGCCTCCGCGGCCCCCACCCTCGGACCCCAAGCTCTGACCCCCCGTGAGCCTTCGCGGGTCTTAGGGCGTCTGTGGCGCGGTTCCAGGCTCGGGGCCAAGGTCCCTGGGCAGAGTCCTCATGCGCGGCGGCTCGGAGCATATGTGAGGTGCGGCGGGAGCCGGGGCGGGGAGGGTGAGTGAAGGCTCGATCTGTTCCGACGTCAGACAGGGGGCTGGGCTGGGTTCGGCTTGGCCTCCTGCGTGCCCCCCTCCCCAGAACGCGCGCTCCCAGTGGCTTGGCCCTTGACTGCCAAGTGTCCTGCTCCTCACCGTCCGGGCAACGCCAACCCAGGCTGTATTTTCCGTGCAGCTCTCTTGTCCTGGGCTACTGGTCCCCTTTCTGGAGTTTTTTTTCCTGGTGTTCTGGAAATCGATCCCTTGACAGCAGCAGTGTAGTTGGGTGGGCAACGTGTTGGGGAGGAAGAACACTGTCCCTGGCCGTGGTTAGATCTGAGAGGGTGAAACCGGATGCGCCCCTACTGTGGTCACTCCGGCTTTAATTTCCTGTCTGAAGGGGCCGGAAAGTGCCAGCTGAGATGTGGTGAACAGTCTAAGGGTGTTCACATCGGGGCTCAGTGAGTCCCCTCTGAGTCTGGAAATCCACGGACAAGAAGACTGATGACCTGTCGACTCTGATGCTCAGCCCCGGCTCCTGGTACCCTCTCTAGAGGCAGGAGAGCCAGGCTCAGCTGATGGGACGATTTCGAAGTTGCTGCTTCTGAGGGGTGCGAAGCAACAGGTGCTACCCCTTTCTTCTTTCCCCCCTCAGATCCTCCTTTATCTTCACCCATCTTTGGAAAAAGAACCTACAGAAAGAAGATGGCTCCTGAGCAAAGGGAAGCGGCGTCTCAGGTAAGCAAGCGCCTTGACGTTTCACTTCTCAGTGGAAGGAGCGGGTTTTGTTTGGTTTTCCTTCCGACAGTTATTCACACAGTTCAGCCTTCACCAGGTTTCAGAGCCCATGCCCTCCATGGAGGAGTTGGTCCTCCTTCCTCAGCTGGTGGATTCTGTGGGGGAACACACCCCATGTTCACAGTTCTAGTCTTCTGTATTTCTGGATAGACAGGCTATTGTTGCCTGGTGCCAGTCTGGTGTCTACCTACAAATCCCACAACTAACATGCCAAGTGCCCTGGGACAGAACACACTTACATAAAGAAAATTCTTTCTTTCTCTGTCCCTGCTTCCCTCACTTGTCTGCGTTTCTTTCTCTGCCATTACCAAGATTGATTTTCTGTTTTCTCTTCTTGACAATCCTTATGTCGCTCCCCAAGCCTTCTCCAGCCTATGGTGGTTGGTTTTTTGTTTTTTTCCACTTTACCTTATGGGTTTTATGTTTTGCTTATACAATTCCATTAAAGTTTTTTTTTTATCGTGTATGTATGTGTGATATGGTGTACATACGTGTATATGCATATTCTCGTGTACTTGGTCATGTGTGAGGATGTGCATCTATCTACACATGTGTGTCAAAGCCTGAGGCTATAGGGTGACTTCTCCCATGGCCTTCCAGATCTTCTGTGTTGAGTCAGGATTTCTTATTTGAACTCAGAGCTCATCGAGTTGTCTGTTCCTCGCAGGTGTCAGTGACGTTTGAAGACGTGGCTGTGCTCTTTACTCGGGATGAGTGGAAGAAGCTGGATCCCTCCCAGAGAAGCCTGTACCGTGAGGTGATGCTGGAGAACTACAGCAACCTGGCCTCGCTGGGTAAGAGCTCCCTGTGGGCACAGACTCAGAAGTGAGACCTCAGCGCCTCCTTCCCTGAATGAAGATTTCATTGTGAAATCGTAGCAGAGTTTTGCCTTCAGGTCTTACAAATGTGTCCTTATAAGTAAGTGTTGACACACACTTCCCACGGCAGGCCTGGAACTGCCCATGTGCGGATGAAAGGGCGTGGCACTGAGAACACCGCTTCCCTTGAAAGAAATATAGAGCAGAGGTTCATGGTCCAGGCATCTTCCCGAGCAGTAGTCCTTCTGTGCTTGCTTGGCCCATCTCTCAGCAGAGGGCTTTGTTCCGGCTCTGGAACCTCTTTCCCATCATCTTTGATAGAGGTCTGCATTGTGCTTTTTCTGCAAAGGGCCGTATGAGGTAAACATTTGAGGCTTAGTTGATTTCTGCAACTTAAGAGATCTTCTTAGTCCTGTGTGGTTGTCTGGCTTCTAATTAATGAGTTCATTTTGTCTACAAGCAGGATTCCTGTTTACCAAACCAAAGGTGATCTCCCTGCTGCAGCAAGGAGAAGATCCTTGGAAGGTGGAGAAAGAAGGCCCTGGAGGCTTCTCTCTCGGTGAGTGAGTGCACAGGCCTGGCAGTCTTTCCAGGCCTCAGTGTGGTGAATAAGGGGAGGGTGCAGCCTAGAGCATGGGCTGTAAATGTCTTCAAGTTCTCAGTCAGGGGCTGTGATCGAACTCAGTGGTAAGAACACCTGCCTGGCACACATAAAGTCCTGGATTCAATTCCTAGTGAGCACACGTGCACACACACACGCACACACACACAAATTAAACTAAACAAAGTAAAACAAAGCAACACAATAACTTACCTGTGAATGAGATAGGAGCAAGGGAGGGAAACTGAAATCAGGGCCAGCTCTGTTATCCTCTCCTGATCATGTCCTGAATGAGTTCCTTGGGACCTTTTTTCTTGTTGGTTGTTTCTGAGGAGGGCTTCATTTTCAGACCTCATTTAAGAAGTACAGGTGTGTTTAAGGGATTATACACAACTTACTCGGACTGGAGTTCAAAGTGTAAAGGAAAAGGAACCGGTGGGAAGGCTATGTAAGGATCCTGTATCAAGTACCTTGATGCTATTCTCAGAGCTGTGTCCTGCAGGTGGGCAGCTGCAAGCATCTGACCTGCAAATGGCCACTGTGTAGTCTCGGGAAAGCTGGTTCTAATCAGAAGCAATTCAAAGGTCTCATAGTTAAACAGCTGAAGAAACTGTGGTATGTCCCTCTTCTGATAGACAGCTCCAGAGCGTGTCAAGGAGTGAGGCAGGTTTCAGAGCACTGTCTAGATGAGGTTGAAAGAAAATTGTGTGCACAGAGAGACAGGTGAGGAGGCACCAATGAACCCTTTAAAATGAATCTGGGAAAAGCATCTTTATTTGCATGAAATGCTTTAAATTGTTACAAAGAGCTGTTACATTCAGGAAGTGCTGTGACATGCACTGTGGAGGATGGACTGAACATGAGGCCCAGCCAGGCAGTCTTAGGGAGCCACTGAAGGAATGGTGGGAGAGCTAGCAGGGTCTAGATGAAGGCCCCTGCTTTGGGCTCTAGAGAGACCCCGGGTGATGAGTTTGGGGTGTGGATAGTTTTCATTCAAAATGTAAGTGAAACGCTTGGATACGGATCTCTGGTGAGGGGTTCTATAAGGTAGATGAGTTGGAACTCACAAACGAGGTCAGAACCCTTGAGCTGACCAGCTGGAAGTGGAATCCTGGCAAACTGTTTTGGCAAGGTGGTTAAGAGAATAGACCTTGTGAGCCGACCTGAAGTGACCTGAAGGAGGTTCAGCAGAGGTGTTGCTATGGTGATAGAAACTTGGGGCTGATGAATTGGGGAAGATCCCTCACTGGTGGATCAAGACTCCCACTGTGGGCTTCTGCTTGCTCAGCCCTTCATAAATGCTGAACAAGCTCTGTTTAGGTCCCAGCGAAGAGGAAGTAGATGGGAAAAAAGCAGGGTCTTGCTCTTGTGGAGTGCTTGGTGCAGTGAGAAGAATAAAGAAGCCAAACACCCACAGCCACCCATGGGCAAAAGTCGAGTGACGACTATGAAAATGACACAGTGCTCTGAGAGTGCAGGGCAGAAGCCATTAGAGTCCATGATCCTGGGCCTAAAGAACACCACATGACACACCGCCCTGTCCTCTCAGCCGTTGTACTATGTGAGAGCCTTTCTTCTCTAGCCTAAGTGAGCACACCTGAGGCAGCAGTCACCGTTGGCTTTTACTCCCTATTTATGTAGCATCAGCCAGATGCCACGCCAGAGTAAGCAGAACAAAGGTAGTTAGGATGCCTGAAGGGAGGGAAATTAGCCCGAGCAGAGAAAGCCTGAAGCTTAGAACTGCCCTGGGAGAGGCTGGAAGACCTGATGAAATGGCCACTAGCCTTCCTCAGCTCTGGGAGACCTGTGTGGATGACTGAGGAGTGAAGTGCTGACTGGAGCCACTTCCTGCTCCGTTCTGTGCAGGGCAGGGGTGGGTTGGGGTGTTGACTGTGCAGCCCAGGCTGGCATTGAACTCTCGATTTCTCCTCCTTCAACCCCTGAGCACTAGGATTTTAAGTATGCCTCTCTGTGCCTCTCTGTCCCTCTCGAGGAATGGCCGTCCTTTGTTTTTCTCAAACGTGGACTTGAGGTGGAAGATCTACAGATGCACATGCGTCCATGATGTGCCTGGACTCCAGGGAGATCCCTTCTCAGCAGGCGCTCACAGCCCCCAGTACAGTGGAAGGACCTGAGCGTTTACACCCAAGATCATGATGTCACACAGAACCCAATTCTGAACCTGCAGAGTTATTTTTTCCCTTCAAAACTAAAACAGCAAAACAGGGCTCAGTTCTTTAGTGCATTGGCTGCTTTTGTAGAGAGCCTGAGTTCAGTTCCCAGCACCCACCTAACTGTTCATAACTCTAGCTCTAGGGCTTCTGGTGCCCTTCTTTGATCTCTGTGTGCCTCAGGGATGCATGTGGTACACATTCAGGCAAAACACACTTATACATAAAAATGAATAACTTTTTTTTTAAAGTAAAGCAGCCTTTGTTGTCCCTGGGTTTGTAAGTTTTAAACTGGAGGTAAGTGGCCATGGCTCAAAGGGTCTCTGTGTCTTACTTTGGGTCTCTTGCTTAAGAATTGTCCCAAGGCCTAAGCAGTGAGGCTGGGCTTTCCCTGCATAGCTACACTAAGAATCATGGGTGAAACCACTTGTGTGTCGAATAGCTCTGGCTCCTGTCCAAATGCAGGAATCTTATTTTTAAATTCCAGAAATGGTCTAGTAATCACATCTCCAGTGAGAAGTCACGCCCCCCCCTTGTGTTTTCCTTTTATCGTCTTTAATGTCAGAAGCCACGGAGTGTCTGCTGAACTGTGTGGGTTGTCAGCCATCTGCTGGCCTCAGTGAAGCTTCTGGGGTTGTATCTGTTCAGAGGAAGGGCGGCTTTTCCTGATTTTACACAGGTGCTACCATGGAAGTTAGCCACAGCTTTAAAACTAGTGACTTCCATCCCATGGAGCACAAGGCAGAGTCCTCACCTTGGTGGTCACCCTTGTCTCCTGTTCTGCAGCAAGGCTTTTGTACCTGACTTTTTCTATCCGTGCCTTGTCTTTTTCTCGATGGCCAAGAGCTCTTGTGTTTGCCTTCCTGTGTTTCACAGGCTTCTGCCCAGGGCTCCTTCCTCCACGCTGTTCGTCTCAGCAAGCTCATTCTCCTCACAGTCACTGCATAGCGCATGTGCGCGTGAACTCTCTCTTCTCTACACCTGTATGTGGAAGCAGCTTGTTTCAGTTATTTCCATTTTCCAGTGCTGGACAGAGTAGGCTTCTGGTTATGTAGAGAATATGGGAATAACTAGCACCATATGAATAAAACGGAAAGCCTGCCCTACATTGTGAAAGCCAAACAAGCCAGTGACTAATACAACATAGAGAATTTCCACAAATGCCTTTACATCAGAGCCGTTTGGTTTATTTGTGGCTTATATGTATCATAAGGGTGAGACTACCTGAAAACAATAGTATAACTTGAGTAGGGTCATGTGAGTAATTTTGACACACTTATGGGTGAAATATTGATGTTGGGAATTGCCTTAGGCTTAGTTTTGTGGAAGAGACATAAGGGTTCATAGTCCTATGTTAAGACAGGTTAGGCATGGCCCTGCTCCCTCTGAGATACCAAGATTGATGCTACTTTCAACCTGTGTAACCTGTGGCTGGCCCTTTAAGATCCTGTCTTGAGTGTCAGACAACTCTAACCAGCACTCACAGCCCGTCCTTACCTGCACCCTCACTGTCTAAGGAGAATTTTGATGGTTCTCTGTGTTCATATTACCCACTCTTACCTTGTATGTTTTTGTTGTAGGGTATAATGTAGTGTATAATGACCACATTATAGCATGATTTCTTCTTTTTGAATACAGATCTCACTGTAGTCCAGGCTGGACTGGAACGTACTGTGTAACACAGGCTGGCCTTAAACTACCACTGCTTCTGTGTTAGGCCCCTGAGTGCTGAGACTGCAAGCATGAACCACCATGCCCATCCATGACTGCCAGTTGATTTCTCTATTTTTGTGCCAAACGATAAACTTACTAAACCTCACCAATGCCTAGGTTGAAGTCTAGGTATATTTTTTTTATTTGATAAATTAACAAAATGAGGAATCAGTGCTTTTTGAAGTAGTAAGGGGTGCCTTACGTGTTGAGGCAGGGGTTAGTTCTTATAGGAAACAGTACCAGAGAGATGAGACAGACTCGGGCCAGAGGAACCGTGACAGTTTATCACAGTGGTCCCTCTAGAATAAGATCCTGAACTTGGATTAGTGATGGTTGTTAGAGACGCTTTACTGGTGGGATGTAAGAATTTGATGACTGTCCGCATGTGTATGCAGGGAATAAGAGACTGAAAGATGAAAATAAAATTTATGGAAGAGCTACTAAAAAGTTTACAGCGTCGATCTAAACAGGAATCAGAAAAGGCCTTGCAAAGGAAGTTGCTCTGGGCTCGAGAGATGGCTCTGTGATTGAGTGCTGGCTGCTCCTGCGTTTGACTCTTTGTACCTACATTGAGTGGCTTACATCCAGTCGTAATTCCAGGTCCAGTAGTCCAGTGCCCTCTGCTGGCATCCGTAGGCACTGTACTCACATGACCATACACACATATACTCAAAAATCTTTTTAAATAAAATAAATTGCTTTGGTAAAATAGTGTATAAGAATGGTCTGCCAGAGGCAGAGGTGCTGAAAGACTGAAGACAGACAGGTACAGGACTGCGCAAAGTGCAGGTCACTATGAATTTAGAGCTGAGGGCACCGCCTGGGTAGCAGGGAAGTAAGGGCTCCTGGTTACAGGAGATGGCAGGTCCAGGCTTCATGTCCCGCAGTGCTAGGAGTCTTAGATTTCTGGAAGTTTCCAGTGTCCTAGATATCTGTGTTTCCCCTACCCAATCCATTTGTCTCTCCCAGTACACACACACACACACTCTCTCTCTCTCTCTCTCTCTCTCTCTCTCTCTCTCTCTCTCTCTCATTCTCTCTGTTCTCCCCCCACCTCATCCCTTTTATTCTCATCCCTACCTCCTCCCCTCCCCAGGTCCCTCCCTCAGGAAACATTTTCTTAATTGTGTCAAATTGACATGAAACTCTCCAGCACACCAACCGAGCCGTATACCAAACCCCCTTCAGGGTATTTGCCACAGCTAATCATTTGCTTCTCTCTGGCTCCTGGAATACCATCATCTCCCAGTTTCCTTAGATGTTCAAGAAGTCTGCTGATTTCTTTAGCTTTAAATAGAATTCGTAAGCTGATGATTCCCAGATGCCTGTCTTCAGCTCTGACCTTTCTCCAGATCTCTAAAACAACACACAGCTATTTCAGGGTCTCCTTGCATTTTCCTCTGAAGGCCTTCAACTATCACAAATAGACCTGAGGCAGGTCTCTCTAGGGCTTCCCATCCTCTCCTCCCTCTTCTTGGTAATTGGTGCCATAATTCATTTTCAGAATTCATAGGCATGAACTTAATTGTCTTCTTTCCTTCCTAGTACTCTGTTAGGCCATTAATCTCATTCCTGATAGCAACTTCATGTGTATTTCACTCCTTTCTGACCTACACAACTTCAGCTCCCTAAAACCTTCATTTGTTTTTCTTCTGCCCCAGTTCTCTCTGTTCTCTGCCAGCTCAAATAGTACGTATTTCCCCAGGCGTCCTATCATGCTAGGTATAAAATTCCACAACCTTCACCAATACTGAGGAGGCCTTGCATGCTTTGTCCCTACCCCATACTTTACTCTTTTGCCATTTTTCCTTTTGTTCAGCACATTCTAGGCAAGGTCAGGGTCTTTGCTCCTTGGAAAAGTCAACTGTACTTCTGTTTTCCCTGACGGCTTTGTCCAGGACTCTCTTCACATAGCCATACAGCTTCTATCTCCTGGTTTGTCACTACATCCTCTCTGCCTGTCAGGCACACACATGTCCACATGTGCACATACAGAAGTGTATGTTTCTACAGTGCTGGACCCTTGTCTTACTCAGAACATTATTTAGCCACAGTATTCACCTAGTGAGTGAGTGAGTATGAATGGAAGGGTAGTCTCTGCATATGTAAAGACAGACAAGTAAAATTAAACTAGACTGTTCCAGAAACTGCATCTAGTTCAGCATACCTGACAAGTAGCCAGGGGAGGGAGGTGTTGGCGATGGAGACAGATCTTTTACACTTTTACACTTCACTGTGGGAAGAAACCTGGACCTCACCAATGAATCATTGTCATTCTAACAGAGATCGTAAAAGAACATGCAGCACAGGAAGATTTGGATTTAGGCAGGATGATCTGGTTGTTGTGTGGAAACAGTTATCAGAGGGCAAGACTCAAAGCTAGTCAGGAGACCATGGTAGAGACAGTAATGCATAAGAAAGAGAATGCCATCTTAGGGCAGTCTTAGTCACTGTTCTGTTGCTGTGAAGAGACACCATGACCATGACAACTCTCATAAAAGAGTTTAATTGGGGGCCTGCTTACAGTTTCAGTTTAGTTCATTATCATCATGGTGGGGAGCATGGCAGCGTGCAGTTAGACATGAGTAGATATCCTCATTCACAGGGGACAAGAAGAGAGAGAGGAAGACAGACAGACAGACAGACAGACGGACAGGGCCTAGCATGGGCTTTTGAAATGTCAAAGCCCACTGCTAATTACACACTTCCTAATCCTTTCAAATATTTCTACTCCCTGGTGACTAGACATTCAAATACATGAGCGTACAGAGGCCATTCTTACTGAAACCAGCACATTTTATCTATGTGGAAGATATGCTTACAGTTCCTGACTGCAGTGCTCAGAACTCTGGTCAGAGCAAAGAATCCGAACTGGAGCCTTTCTTTATAAGAAGGCCTAAGGCAGTTAAAGGGAGAGAGAATTATTTTGTCATGTGGCTTTACAGATTTTAGTCCATAGCTGCTTGGCTACCTTGCTTCTGGACCTGTGGTGAGGCAGGGCATCATGCAGGTAAGTGTATGGCAGAAGAGAGCTGCTCACCTCAGGGTAGTCCAGAAGATGGGGAAAGTGGGGATAAGATACACAAGATATTCTTCCATTAACCTATTCTTCAAAGATAGTAGTGAGGCATTTAATACATGAGCCTTTAGTTGACATTTCAAACTCAAATTGTAACACCTGTCTTGCTTGATGCGTGGATATGGCTACCTTTCCAGCTTACAGTTCTTGACCTTATGCCTGTTCTGTGGCACTTCTGTAGAATTAATTTAGTAATGTCTTCCTGGGTGAACTGGTTTAGAAATCTCTCTAATCATCTATGTTGTGTTTGAAAAGGCAGGTTCTATGAGGACTTGTGACTAATATATACGAAATTCATGTTTAAGTAATCAAGACGCCTTGACTTCAAATTAGGCAGGTATAAATAAGAAAACAATTACTACACAAGCCAGATGTGGTAGCACATGCCTATATTCCCAGTACTCAGAAGGTAGAAGCAGGAGAATTTCTACAAGTTCCAAGCCAGCCTAATCTGTCAACTTAAGCTATATAGTGAGACTCCATATCAAAAAAGAAGTGAGATATATATATATATATATCGCCATCAAGAGGATTTATGAGAGGTAGAACATGTTGATCTGCTTGTTATATGTAGAGAGGTACAGAATAATAATGCATCAGTACATCAGAAGTGGTCACCTGCAATCCTAGCTCTTGAAAGGCTAAAGCAAGAAATCATGAGTTCAAGGATAGCTATGCTGAGATTGAGATTCTGTCTAAGAAAATAGGAAATGCTGGCTGGAGGAATGGACCATGGATATTTGGAGTCAAGCAAGGATTCTCATAGTAAACTTTTGAATTGAATCTGCCAGATATTGTTGGCAGGAAACAAAGAGGGCATACTTAGCAGGTAACAATGTAGATGACTATCATGAGTTCTCTGGGTTCTAGATACTACATTTTCCAACTCCTTTTCCCTGTTTAATCACTGTCTTGGAATGGTTTTGCTTTATTTTTTTCTTCACTCTACTTCTGTTCCCATTAACTATGTTTCTATAGGAACTCTTGGTTCCACCCTCTGTTTTTAACCACACACCAAGACTCTATTTAGATAGCATTAGTATTTATTCACTCTACATATCTAGTCTCAATAGTCAACTTTTATATCACATCTTTGGTTTCTTTTTTCCCTTTCTAGGATTGAAGTGCAGTCAGAGAACCACTAAGTCAACTCAAACACAAGGCTCTTCATTTCAGGAACTGATTGTGAGAAAATCTAAAAGAAATGAACCTTTGAACATGAAGTCAGAAAATCTTTTCATACTTGAAGACAAATTAGAAGGAAAGTGGGATAAGAGTACTTTGACTATAGAAAGAAGCCATGAAAACAATAAATTGAGCCCAGAGTTGCACAGAGAAAAAGGGTCATCAGAATGTGAAAAGCAGATATCATATTTGTCTAATCCACCAGGAATAACACCAGATAAACGCTATAAATGTAGTATGTGTGAAAAAACCTTCATTAACACCTCATCTCTTCGTAAACATGAGAAAAACCATAGTGGAGAGAAATTATTTAAATGTAAAGAATGTTCAAAAGCCTTTAGCCAAAGTTCAGCCCTTATTCAACATCAAATAACTCATACTGGAGAGAAGCCTTACGTATGTAAGGAGTGTGGGAAAGCCTTCACTCTCAGTACATCCCTGTATAAACATCTAAGAACCCATACTGTAGAGAAATCCTACAGATGTAAGGAATGTGGAAAATCCTTTGGCCGCAGGTCAGGTCTTTTTATACACCAGAAGGTCCACGCTGGAGAAAATCCTCATAAATATAACCCAGGAAGGAAGGCATCTACCTCCCTTTCAGGATGCCAGAGAATTCATTCCAGAAAGAAGACCTACTTGTGTAACGAATGTGGCAACACCTTTAAGTCTAGTTCATCCCTTCGTTATCATCAGAGGATCCACACCGGAGAGAAACCTTTCAAATGTAGCGAATGTGGCAGGGCCTTCAGTCAGAGTGCATCACTTATTCAGCATGAAAGAATCCACACTGGAGAGAAGCCCTACAGATGCAGCGAGTGCGGGAAAGGCTTCACTTCTATCTCAAGACTCAACAGACACCGAATCATTCACACAGGAGAGAAGCTGTATAATTGCCACGAGTGTGGCAAAGCCTTAAGTTCCCACTCAACTCTTATCATTCATGAGAGAATCCACACTGGAGAGAAACCATGCAAATGTCAAGTGTGTGGGAAAGCCTTCCGACAGAGTTCAGCTCTGATCCAACATCAGAGGATGCACACCGGGGAAAGACCCTATAAATGTAACGAGTGTGGGAAAACGTTCAGGTGTAACTCATCCCTAAGTAACCATCAGCGAATCCACACTGGGGAGAAACCTTACCGGTGTCAGGAATGTGGGATGTCATTTGGACAAAGTTCAGCTCTTATTCAGCACCGAAGGATCCACACAGGGGAGAAACCCTTTAAATGTAACACCTGTGGGAAAACCTTTAGGCAGAGTTCTTCGCGTATCGCACATCAGCGAATTCACACTGGAGAGAAACCCTATGAATGTAACACATGTGGGAAACTTTTCAACCATAGGTCATCCCTTACCAATCATTATAAAATTCATGTGGATGAGGACCCTTAAAAAGCAACTTTGCATGTGCAAAAGCCTTAAACCAAAGCTCTTCAGAGAATATGTGCTTGAGAGATGTCATAAAGATAAGATGGGGGCCCTATGATCATTTAGTTATTATTCACTAAATTCAATGGATAAATTTTGTGTAACAGGTAGGGGCAAAATATTCATGCCTGTCCAACACTTTAAAAAATGACTTTAGATCCAGTGGTTCATACGTGTCATCCTAGCTACTGGGGCCCCTGAAGCATGAGGATTGCTTGACTCCATGAGTTTGAAGCAGCCTGAACAAACCTAGGGAGATTTCCATCTCAAAAGATTAGTAACCTGAAATGAATTTACAACTGAAGGCCTTGACTTCAGGTATTTGTAAAATGGTGCTTTTCTCTCTGCAGCAGCGTGTGCTAAATACAATTGTAATCGTAAGTATCTAAGTGAACAGACCAGTGCGCTGGACTTCTCATTAGCAAAACACTAAACTCGACTGTGGTGATATTTTTTATACCATTTTAATAACATCCAAAAGGGATCAACACATTTTTAAGAAAAAAGAGCCAAAATAAAAGATTTAAATGAACTGTAATCTACCTCTTAGTCTCTGAAATTTATCTTTTCTTGACCTGATTTCAAATGTATGAGGATATTATTAAAAATGAAAAATAAAAAGCTGGTCTCCTGACATTACTGTTAATTGGAGATAGTCTACATAGTTATTAATTCCGTTCCCAGAGGTTTTTGTTGTTGCTGTTGTTTTGATCTCTTCGAAGTCATTTACTACTAAATTCTACCTTTTACCTGTGTGCTGTCGTCTAGGTCATGTGTTGAGTACAAAAATAGCAATTATGGGAGTTGAAGAAATGTGTCAGTGGTTAAGAGTGTTCTGGAGTTCCAAGTGACCCAGCCTCAGCTCCCAGTACCCATAGCAGGTTTAATTGTAACTGTAGTGACATAGATATATATGAATATATATATGTGTGTATATGTGTACAGATGTATAAATATATATGCATACATATGTATATATATGTACATATATATGTGTGTGTGTATATATATATACACATATGCCCCTACCTCCAGGAAGATCTGATGTCTCTTGTACTCACAGACAACCGCACACATTGCACATTCGTGTGTGTGTGTGTGTGTGTGTGTGTGTGTGTATACATATAGTTTAAAACCTTTCTTAAAGGGTTAAATAAACTCAGAGTTACTAAGTATATATAAATTTTAACCACACACATAAAAACCTACTTCAGAAGATGTAAGGCAAATCTATCACCTGTAGGAAAATGCTGAAGATCTTGCTGTTATTTAGAGATGCTTGTATGCTCCCCTAATTTACAGGCTGAAATGCTAGATTCCAGGGTGATGAAAAGATTGCTAGTCCATGTGAATTAATTAGCACCTCTTATTGGAGTTAGTGTTGTGGTGAAATAGTAAACACTGTTTTTTCAGCCGTCTTTCAGACACCACAGGAAGATGCCTTTCAAAGATATGTTTTGACCAGACAGCAAAACATCACCCCTTAAAAGTTGCATTTACCAATATGAATATTAACATCACTGGACACACCTCTGGTCATGTTCTCGAGGGTGTTTCTAGAGAGGTCTAGCTGTGGGCCAAAGAACCACCCTGTATGTGAGTGGGATTATTTCATGGACGAGTTCTGGACTGAAAAAAGAGCCAGCTAAATACAAGAACTTTTCTATTTTCAGACCTATTAAGATTTGAGGAAGCAGCCTCACACTTGTACAACCACAACCTACTCCTACTACTCTCCTTTTCCTAGTGTGATCTAGACCTATGCTAATTGTAACTGTAGTGACATAGATATATATGAATATATATGTGTGTATATGTGTACAGATGTATAAATATATATGCATACATATGTATATATATGTACATATATGTGTGTGTGTATATATACACACACATATATATATATACACACACACACATATATATGTGTGTGTGTGTTATATTTTATATGTATGTTTGAGACAGGGTTTCTCTGTATAGTCCTGGCTGTTCAGGAAGTCACTCTGTAGACCAGGCTGGTCTCAGAAATCTGCCTGCCTCTGCCTTCCAAGTGCTCTGGATTCCAAGGCATGTGCCACCACTGCCTGACCTTTATTTGTAATTTTAAGTTAAAAATTAAATTCTTCATTTGCAATCTCCACAGATTCTCCATTGTGTTGCCTATTGCTTGTCCAGACCCAGAAATTCTCTGTTGTGTTGTAGGGACATGGGAAGAAAACCATTTCAGATCAGGTAGTACATCACAGTGCTGGGAACTAAAGAGCACCTGGAAATAAAGTGTCAAATCAAGTGAGATGACTGACATCTCTTCCTGCTAATGGCTACGGTTGGAAGGAACACAGAAAGAACTACATAGAGATGAAGGAGCAGGGAGGGCTTACAACTTCCTGGGTGACCTGAGGTCTAATATTTTACTACGTTTAATGTTAATTTAGCAGATTATCACTGGTTAGGTAATTTATAATGAGATGCATTTTTGGCAGTAGTGGTATCTGAAAAGTCGACATCTGGTGAAGGCCTAACTATATAACATAACCTGGCTGAAGGCATCACAAAACAAGAGAAAGCACGAAACTGAAGTTAGCAAATCGACTCTCCCGATACTCTATAATAACAACAGCAATCAATTCATCAAGATGCCCGACCTCTCAATGATGCTATACTGGGGACTTTGTTTCCAATACCTGTACTCGGTGGTGGGGTGGGGATGTCAAATAATAGCATCTCATATCCTTTTGGTGGACCAGCCTGACTCCATCTTAACGTTAAACTCCATTTTGTTACAAGGTTCAAATAAGTTCATTTCTGTTTGCTGCAAAATTCAAGTTAACTGTGCTTTAACCTGGTTCTGGAAATTGGCACTTTCCCCACTCACTGGAGTTTGACTCACACCTCAGATGTACTCCATCCTGATAAGATGTCCGCCAAGATGATCTGTCAGATAATCTAATCCACTGGCCGCTTTTATAAAATTTACTTGCTAAATCCCTACATCACCAAATTCCTTTGAAAACACTCATTTTATACTTTTTCACTATAAAAAAAAAGAAGAAAAGAAAGGCCTGAAAAGTGAACCCACCCTGCTCTCTCAGACCCTGACATGGAGAGTCAGTCCTATGCACAGGAGTTTTTGTTCTCACTTGGTGGGATCAAACTTTTCTTGTGGCTCTTATTCTCAGTAATCAGAAGGGCTGAATAGCTCTGCAAGGTGCTCGACGCTATTCCAGAGGTCCTAAGTTTGGTTCCCAGTACCCACACTGTTGTCTCTACTATCTGCGTCTCCTATAGTGGCCCTCTAGTGACTAGTGTGAGAATTAATGTTGAATTTGAGATACAACAGAACCAGAGAACTCCGGGTGATTACTGCCCTGGAACCCTTTGCTGGGCTTCGTTGAAGCTTTTATTCCAAGATATCTCATTGCTCGTGGGAGAGAGAAGCAATGATCAATGTCCAGAGTAGCTCTCAGCACTCTCAACAGATGTCCTCAGAGGGTAGGGATTCTTACAAGGGAGTCTCATAGCAGGGCTTTGTCGGATCCGCCAGCAGTATACCTAATGACACAGAGCTTTCCAACAGTTTAAAGCTTAGGCCTTTAGCTAAGGCAATTTCCCAGCTAGCTCATCTAACTTAACCTGGTTATCTCGCCCATGACCCACCACATGGCTAGCTCTATACCTTCCCTTGCTTAGCTCTAGTCCGTCTGTCCTGTGGTGACCCCCCAACCCCGAACCCCCATCTCCCACGTCTCCTCTCCTTGCATCAGTCTCTCTGCCCGGAAGTTCCACCCTCCATTTCCTGCCAAAGCTATTGGTCATTAGCTCTTTATTGCAACCAATCAGCAGCGAGGCAACCTTTGATACAATTCTAGACTGCCTTTGAGCAAATGAGTAAAATCAAATATTTACAAAATAGAAAATCCACTTAGGATCATAGAAACGACCAAAAAAAAAATCCTGCCAGCACTTAACTCTCTGCTAGTACAGAATTAACAACTGAAAATACAGAGACACACATTCATACAAAGTAAATAAAAATTAAAAAAAATAATAAAAAGGTTATCCCAATGAAGACTATTTACATAATGTCCTTTAATAATCTAAGCTGGGGGAAGGAAACATCTTGTTCATGACATTCCTTGGGCAGGTGGAGGCATTCCTCCCAGAGGAATAAACAAAGGTCCAAAGGAGCAGAATTCATAGGATAAATATAGGTAAGTTTATATTATATGCAGGCTATATGTCCAGCTCCGTGGGATGTGACATCCTCCTCTGGCCTCTGCAGGCAGCCACACACATGTGGCACACAGTAACACATATACATTATAAATAAAAGCATTTAGTTCTCAGAGGTGCAGTTACCATCATGGAGCAACGTTTACACTCATAGACATCAGGTTTTGTTTTTGTTTTATATTTTTTCCAATAAAATATTTTTATTAATTATTTGGGAATTTCATATAATACACCCTAATCATATTCATTTTCCATTCTTCCCAGGTCTACCCTCTCACCCTGTGCCCTCTGCTCCACCCACCCACTCCCCACCCACTCCCCACCCACTCCCCACCCACCCCCAAAAAAAAGAAAGGAAAAAAGAGAAAAATATACCAAGTCCAATTGTGTTGCCTTGCCCATATACTCATTGAAGCATAGTCAAATTCCCAGTGACCAGCCCTCTAAAAAAACAAAAAATAAAACAAAACAAAAAAACCCGAGTCCTTCCCCAGAAGCCATCAACTGTGAAGAGCTACACCTCAGCTCCCCACCACACTTTCTAAGGACTTCTTCACTAGCTTCCTGTCTGTACTGGGGTTTTTTTGAAGGAGCGAGGGGGTGTTGTGGATTGTCACAGAAGCCCTCAATATCTCTCATTCTGCTTATGAGTCTGCAGTCATTGATAACACTGCAAAGGCAGCTTCCTTGCCCATAGCAGCCCCAGTAGCATAGATCATGGACTTCCACATGATCTCCTTCGGCAACACAGATCATGGATATCAGCATGGGCGCTGGCGGCAATATGACCACAGATACCAACATGGCTTCTGGTGGCAACACAGACCTTGGAGGTCTTTCGAGGAGGCTTAATTCAGAAAATGAGCCTTTCTTCACCTAGAATATCTTGTTGCTTTCTCTGAGTCAGGGTGATCATGCCATTGAGCAGTGCGTTGGTGAGGGCGGGCAGTACCTGTTCAAATCCCAGGCTGTTGTACACCACTCTGTCCTCAGTGCTGGCCACCCTGCTGGTTACAGCTGGAAGACAGCACCACTCCTCTATGGTTTCCTCCCCACAGCAGAGCTAGCAATGCCAGTGGCAACAGCAGCGGGGACTCCATGACTCAGGCCAGGCCAGTGAGGCGAGCAGCCTCACCAGCCTATCAGGTGGCATTCAGGTGAGGTGGGCCAGTGGTGGCCTGGGACTAGCCCTTTGTCTAGTCCTCGACATGTTTCTTTACTGCCTAGTCTCTAGTTCCGCTCCTCTCTGCCTCCCACACCACTCGATTCTGCCATCTTTCCCATCTCTCTATCACACAT